GAGGATAGATCAGTGCAGCGTATTATTAACCTCTATCATTGGCTAGGACCAAAGTAAAACCCAGGACTGGGCCAGAATTAAGGAACACTAACACCCAAGGTCACAAAGCAAATAGTTGCCAAGTCAGAACTCAGCTATCCAGGGAATCCTGAGGCACAGAATGGGAAATCCTGGTTTAATAATGTCTTCTCTCCACACGCCTGTTGATACAAACTCTGTTTTTCAATTATCGCTTGGGTACCACATTTGCCCACATACAATTCTCTAGACAACAGGAAACCAAGCATCGGGTATCATATCTGTAACATGGTGACTCAAAATTATACCTCTGACTATCAAGTTTTCTTAAAGCCACAAGTCAGATAGAACACAAATAAATGAGTTATCTGAGAAATAGAGCATACAAGGTGGGCGCTGTGGCTCACCACGCTGTCAATCCCAGCACTCTGGAGGCTGAGGCAAGGGAATCACAAGTCAGGGAAGATCGAGACCATCCTGGCTAACAGGGTTTCCACCCCTGACTCTACGAGAAAATGCAAAAAATTAGATCGGCATGGTGGCACACACCATGTAGTCCCAGCTACTTGAGTCGAAGCAGGGAGACATTGCTGGAATGCCTGGGAGCGGAGCTTGCAGTGAGCTGAGAGTTGTGCCACTGCCACTCCAGCCCCTGGGGTGACCAGAGCGAGACTCCATCTCAAAAAAAAAAATAAAAAAAAGAAAAAAGAAACAAAAAGGCATATTGCACGTACATAGAGTTTCAGCTGAATTATTTTCCTTTGAAGCTCTAAGCACGAGTTAAAAAAAAAAAAAAAAAAAAAAAAAAAGGTTAATGGGGAAAAAAAAAAAAAAAAAAATTTGCTACTTGGGGCGGGGGACTGGGTGCCCCTACAACTAAAGTTCCTGAAGTTTCCTTCAACTTTCATCTTTAAAATGCATAGTGGCATAAAATAAAGCGGATACAGACATTAACTGATTCAGTAATTACTGGACTATTGGATCTTTCATGTACTTGACATCATCCTCTTAAAATGATATAAACAGATAGTAATGGCTAATGCCCTCATTTGCCTTCTAATTTGTATCAATGAGCTAGCTAATAATATTATTAGAAGTGTAATAAACAGAAAAGTCTATTTTGATGAGGGCTGAGAAGTCGTAGGCCAAAATAGATTTCTAACCCCTCTCCACCCCCCCCGTAAATTGAGGAAGGATACTAACTAGATGCCTCATGGTCACTTGTCCTCTTGACATTCCCATAACCTTTATCATAAGGCCTCAGCTGGTAACCTCAGTGCCTGTCAAATTCTGCACTTTAGTGTATACAGTTTTCTCTATCTAAATTTCTTTATAATTTCCAGTAAGTAAATTACATCTCTACTTCCCTTTCTAAAATAATTTTATAGTCTTACAGTTTTTTCTAACAGGTCTTGTTTTCTCATTCTCTTTCTCTGTCTCAGGGTTAATAAAAGGAGGTCATACCACCTTGTTTAATCTGAAATTAGGAAAACATGACATAAATAGAAATACATACGATCTAATGTAGCGCTGGCTATAGGAAGACTTAAAACACCATGTGTTACAGCAAAATACTTGACAGTATCATCAGTTTATTTTAAAACTTTCCTTTAAAATCTACTTTCTTCGATCCATCCTGAATTTCTTACATTTTGAAAGATGGCTATCTCTTCTCATTTGAGTTGTTATCTGTCTCTCTTCCTAGGTCACTGCTCTGAAATCTATTTAGGAACCTGTTGACATGTACAATAAAAAGACATTGCTGGTCTTGGGTTTACCATGCCACCAAGCGAGACCAGCCCTTGTCTCACTCTCTGCAGGAATGGAAGAGGCAGTGTGGGTTGGAAATCAGGTCACATGGCTTTGATCTTGGCTTTTAGTTCTGCCAACAACCAGTGTAGACCCTGGCCTAAAGCATTTAAGTCCCCCGAGCTTTGGTATCTTCATCTATAATTCCTTTTAGCTTTGACATTTCATTAATTTCATCCATCTGGCCCAGAAGCAATTTTGGAGTCCAGGGGGTTCTTCAGGAAGCTTCGCAAACTTCTTTGGAGAGAGGAGCACTTGCAAAGCAATGTAACTGTCAGAGCTCCAAGGCCTCCATCCCACCTTAAGCATGACAACTTCCACTGTATCTCAGCCTCCATCCTCATACACGGGAAGAGATTCAAGGTAAGATTATTTTGGGATTGGAGGATGAGGAGTGGGAGAGAAATTCCAAAGCTAACTCTTCTTTTTGAAAATCTTGTGC